AAAGCTCAGACAAAGTCACTCAGGCATCAGGCATGGCCTGTCCAGTCAAGCTTAGAGGGCTGCAGCCCAATGGGGGCACACGTCTAAAGTTCAGAGAAGAGTCGCTAAAGGCACCAGGCCCTGCCCACCCAATTGAGCTCAAAAAGCCTCCCCCCAGTGGAGAGTACTAATCCAAAGTTGCTTAAACCCCAGCCTCCACCCCACCAACTGAGCTCAGAGAGCACCACCTGGTGGAGCACCACCATTGTGGTAGGCACCTGTAGTCCCAGCTACTTGTAGTCCCTCTGGCCAGAGGTTCAAAGTTTAGTCCAAAGTCACTTAGACACTGGCCTGCCCAATCAAGCTCAGAGAGTGGTGCCTGGCAGAGGGGCCAGGTCCAAAGTTTAGTCAAAGGTCAAAGTCACATAAGCACTGGCCCCACCCACCCAACGGAGGCCAGAAGTTGTGCTGAAGGGCAGAAAGCAGATCTGCCTGAGAATTCCTAAGGAGCTGGAGATGGGTAGTTCACCCTCTCTGAAGGTGGGAATTTTTAAAAGATTATTAACAAAATGAATAAAAATATATTGATGGGGTGAGACTAAAGAAAAAGTTAAGGGACTCATTTCTTCAGGGTAATAAAAATTTAGATGGTTATTAACAAACAGGATGAATCAAATAAACGTTGGTGGGACTCTGGTTAAAATGTGTAATACAGGGGATCCCTGAGTTATGAACAAAGTAGGCCCTGTAGGTTTGCTCTTAAGTTGAATTTGTATGTAAGTGGGAATAGGTACATTTACCTATCACCTGTAAAAGGTTCTATTCCTAAGTGTAACTCACACATCGGTTGGATGTTTGTAACTCAGGGACTGTCTGTACAACACTTGCAAAGTTTGGTGGACCAAAGGGAGCCCTACTGATTCCCCAACATTAAAGAGCTTCAAACAAGTTTGCTCCATTTGCCCCAGTTTGGAGAAATTTTAAAGACTGAAAAAATATTACAGTGAGAAAGCTGATCAACAATTTCACGGAGGCCAGCACAGTGGCTGAGGCCTGTAATCCTGGCACTCTTGAGAGGCCCAGGCAGGCAGATTGCTTAAGCTTAGGAGTTCACGACCAGCCTGAGCAAGAGCAAGACCCCATCTCTAAAAAAACACCCAGGCGATGTGGTAGGCACCTGTAGTCCCAGCTACTTGGGAGACTGAGCCCAAGACTTTGAGGTTGCTGTGAGCTATAAAGGCCATGGCAATCACCCCCAGGTGAGATTGTCTCAAAAAAAAAAAAAAATGTCATGGGACAATGTTGAAGCAGGCTAATCAAAATAAAGGTTGACAAAAAGAAAGTCCAAGGACTCCCTTGGCTCTACTCCTTGCAGGCTGGGGGTCCAAAACCTATGTACACAAGTGGGTAAGAGCCTCAGACTCCCTGACCCAGGAGTTCAATGCAGTGTGATTTCCAAATCTACTGATAAAGTCCTAATGGAGGCTACCGTTAAGAAAGTGTTGATGAAAGTAAGGTAAAATTTGAGAGGAGAATTGGTTAGATTTGAACTTGCTTCATGCAAAGTGACTGCATCTCCTTTATCTGACTGTATCGTGGAGGCAGGCGCTGGACCTGCTTTGGGAATGTTTTCCCTCCTAGGACTGTAAAACAGAAGGCACAAGCACCCCACCCTTCAAGCAGCATTAAAGAATATGATAAATGGGAACCAGTAAGTTCTCCCAGCCTATAAGGTAAAGAACAGAAGCTGGAGTGCCAGCAGAGACAAACTACATTACAACTCCTGGGGCTTTGGACTAGAGAATTTCTCTTTGAGGGGCATTTATCACCTTGTCATCAGGCATTAATTGTCGCTATCCCTATGAATGAGGACACAAAATGATCTTGAAACCTGAAATATGCATGCTGTCTGGGGTGATATCAGAGAAACACTCTAATGGGGGACCGCAGTGCCCAGAAGAGTTCCCCAATAAAACAGAATCCACTAGACCTGGGGAATGTCAGGAGCCTCTTCTGCCCTCGGACTGACTCTGGAGCTGTGTGAGGAGCTGCTTCATAAATAGCTCTGACTGATGAAGAGCTGCTGGGTTTGTGGGCGGCAGTTCCCAAGTGAATGAAGGATGTCACTCTGATCAAAGGTAGAAACAAATCTGCTTGGTGAGTGAACGGCATGCTGTTTTCCTAGCATTATGTTTACAGTAAAAGCCTTCTGTTTGGCTCTTACTGACTCAGCAGCAGTGGCCAGAGCAAGGCAAACCTGACCTATTCAAGGGCTGCCTCTATAGGGCACGGCCCTATAGAAATCAGAGGGGTACATTAAAGCAGGACATATCCATGCTCAGCAGAATTCCCACAAATGTGTGGAAATGGGCGCCCTGAGCAACGCAGAGACAGGCTGAATTCAGACATATTCCTTTTGCACTTTCTCAGGCACAAAATGCCAATAGTAACTATTCTGCATAGTAACTGTCAGCAAAGGAGACAACAGATAGCTCTGTGGCGGGTTCCCTGGTGGGAAGGCCTTGGCAAGTAAGAAATGATGCTGGTAGCCCTGAGGGACTACAGATGAGTCCTGACTGCCATAGACACTGATTCCCAAACAGCCTTCACTTACTGGGAGAAGATGTAAATGCACCAAGCACCACAGAAAAACCAGAAGAGAATCATTTAAAAATTTACACCTTCACCTTCCCGGGAAGAGCCCTTGGACTCTCCTCCCAGCCTTTCACCATTCTTTTGTTAATTAACCCAATGTTTTCATTAGCATCTCTGAAGATCTATGGGAGGGGAGCTGAAACAGCATTTTGCATCAGATGAATGGGTAACAATTTCCCAATCTGATATGATTAATTCCAGAGCAATGGTTACTCTTAAACTGTGAGTGGGAGCACAAGTAGGTAAAAAATCATTTTGGAAAATACTGTCATTTTCTATGAAGTTGGAGATGAGTGTGTGTATCGTAGTACCTACCAACTACACTGCTAGGCACATACACTTCTACACTTTAAAAGAAACTCTTTGCGATGCTTCATCTTATAAGGGTACATGTGAATCTTTCTAAATGTAGAATATAAATGTCTTAACACAATAACTAAGAAAATGACAGGAAGGCCATGTTAACCAGTTGGATAAAAATATTTCAAATTGTATATAAAAACAGCACACTGTACCCCATGACTGTATTAATGTACACAGCTATGATTTAATTTAAAAAATAAATAAAGAAACTCTTTGTATATGTTCACAGAAACACGAATCCAAACAGCTCACGGCAGCCTTGTTTGCCTTGTTGATGATACCAAAACTTCCAGAAACAACCCCACAGTCAAGCAACAAATAAATACAATGTCGCTTATCCAGCCCATGGAATACTACACACCAGTGAAAACAAATCAACTACAGTTACAGTCTCAAAAGGATCATTCACTGGGAAAAGTTGCAATGCGTATCAAAAGACACACAAACGACTATTCATAGCAGCTATGTTTGGAATAGCTCAAAACTGCTAATAGCCTATCTGACCCAGCTAATGGTTCTTCCTCCTGCAAGCAGCGTTTCCAGAGCACCACTCTAGTGGTTTTCCTTGGACACTTCAACTCTCTTAACCTCTCAACACTGAGAACATCTAGTGCTTTAGTCTCTAAATCTTTCCTCTTTCCTACACTCGTGCCCTTGGAAAGCTTGCCAGTCTCACTGCTTTACATACCATTTATAGGCTATGGGTCCAGCTTTACCTGTCTCCATCCTGGATTTCTGGAACTGTGCACCTGGGTCTATGATTCTTGCCACCTCCACCTGGATGTCTAACAGGCATTTCAGACTCAGTATTACCCCCAACGGACCTCTTCAACTTTCCATCCCAAATCTGTTCTACCTGCAGTTATTCTCATCTCGGTTAAGACAATTCTACCCTTGGCTCGGCGCCTGTGGCTCAAGTGGCTAAGGCGCCAGCCATGTACACCCAAGGTGGCAGGTTCAAATCCAGCCTGGGCCCGCTAAACAACAATGATGGCTGCAACCAAAAAATAGCCGGGCGTTGTGGCAGGTGCCTGTGGTCCCAGCTACTTGGGAGGCGGAGGCAGGAGACTCGCTTGAGCCCAGGAGTTGGAGGTTGCTGTGAGCTGAGATGCCACGGCACTCTGCCCAGGGGGACAGCTTGAGGCTCCTGTCTCCAAAAAAAAAAAAAAAAACAATTCTACCCTTGAGTCACCTTTAACTCTTCTCTTTCTCTGACAACTCTTATTTTCTCTGTAATCTAATCCTATTGCCTGTAATCAAATCCTATTGGGTGGCACCTGTGGCTCAAAGGAGTAAGGTGCCGGCCACATATACCGGAGGTGGCGGGTTCAAACCCAGCCCCGGCCAAAAACTGCAAAAAAATTCACTACCCAGACAGAATGCAAGCACGTTTCAGCCCCAAAGGCCTCTGATCTGACCCATGATCTTCACCACTGTCCTCCCACATTCTGTTCTCACACAGCAGGCAGAATGATACCCAGAAAATGGTAACCAGTTTACATCCTGCCTTAGCTCCAAACTCTCCAACAGCCACCAGCTAACCTGGAGCAAAGCCAGCACTTAAAGGGCTCTGCCTGGTCTGCCTCTGCCTCCACCTCCTCGGCCGCCTCAGCCCACTGCCCTGCTGACTCACTAAGCCTCTGGCCTCCCTGCAGCTCCCGAGCAAGCCAAGCAGCACCCCCGTCTCAGGGCCTGACAGGAATTACCCTCTCACCTCCCTTGCACCAGTTTATTTTTATTTATATTACGTATTTACCTCCCCCCAAATAAAAAATAAGTTACACGAAGGCAGGGATTCCCTAGCATGTGTCACATAGCAGGTGCTCCTTAAATAAGGGCTAAATAATGAGTGACTGAGCGAAACCATTTAAGTGCTTGGAATGGTGCCTGGTACAAAGCAATGACTCAGTGATTAGCTGCTATTATTATCATTAGCTCCAAACGGTTGATATGATGGGCAGGGAACTTTCAAAGAAGGAGCAAGACTGACGTGCTGTACCTACTTGCTAAGACCTCCTGGGTGGCAGCACTCCCCTCTACTTCAGAAGGTTCTGTAGCAACAGTGTCTTGACTGGGCTCCTTAACTCTCTCATCGGTAAGAAGGCTGACTGCCTGCGTAATGTCACCATTACTGGCCTAAGGAAAGAAAAACAATAGAAATTTCAAAAGTAGAGCATCGTAGGATTTAAAATAAGTCGTGAGTGAGGTTTGGGTGGTGACTCCTTACTATCCTGGTGACACACTGACTAGTTCAGGCTTAATTCTAGGGCAGGGGTTCAAAAAAGAGAGCCAGAAAGCATCTACCAAACACCCAGTCCCAGCACAGGAAGGAGCCCCCAGACTCTTTTGTTTTCCCACTACGTGCAGAGAAAAAGGGAACCCCAGAGGAGATCTGTTCTCATTCTTCAGATACTACTGCTCCTGATTTCACAGAATAGTTTAAGGTATTTTTGTGTCAAAAAAGGAGGCTATCAATTAACAGAGAGATTCTGTATGAAGTTAGCCTCTACAGTAAAAGTGTGGAGCAGGCGGTGCCTATGGCTCAGTGAGTAGGGCGCCTGGCCCGTATACCAAGAGTGGCGGGTTCGAACCCGGCCCCAGCCAAAACTGCAACAAAAAAATAGCCAGACGTTGTGTGAAGTTAGCCTCTACAGTAAAAGTGTGGAGCAGGCGGTGCCTATGGCTCAGTGAGTAGGGCGCCTGGCCCCTATACCAAGAGTGGCGGGTTCGAACCCGGCCCCAGCCAAAACTGCAACAAAAAAATAGCCAGACGTTGTGTGGGGCGTCTGTAGTCCCAGCTACTCAGGAGCCTGAGGCAAGAGAATCACCTAAGCCCAAGAATTGGAGGTTGCTGTGAGCTGCAACGCCACAGCACTCTATGGAGGGCGACAAAATGACACTCTTGTCTCTTAAAAAAAAAAAAAAGTATGTGGAGCAGTTACCTATTTTTCTACTGATGACCATATTTGTTTTTAACTTTTTATTAGGAAACATGTCCAATGTCTACAATGGGAAAGTGAACAGTTGAACCCCACCAAGCTGCCACTTAGCTTAAACAATTATCAAGTTGTGGCCATTCTTATCCTACCTACACTGTCTACCCTCCCCCAGGTATTTTAAAGCAAATCCTAAACATCTTAAATTGTTGGTCAACATTCCAGAAAGTGTATTTTTTTCAATACAATCCACAATGCTATTATCACACTGTAAGAGGAACCACAGGTTTTGGGGTCAAGCAAAGTCGCTCCTGCCTGTAATCCTAGCACTCTGGGAGGCTGAGGTGGGAGGATAACTTGAGCTCAGGATCAGCTGAGCAAAACTGAGATCCCAGCTCGGCTAAAAACAAAAAATAATTAGTCAGGCATGGTGGCACAGACCTGCAGTCCCAGCTCCTCCACAGGCTGAGGCAGGAGGATTGCCTGGGCCCAGGAGTTGAGTTGCCCACTAGCCTGGGGCAGCAGAGTGAGACTCTGCCTCAAATAAAAGGAAAAGGGTAGTAACTGGTTTTTTAATAACCAATTCAAATGTCCCTGATTCAAAATTATTTAGTTGGTTTCAATCGGGACCCTGATAAAGTCTATACAGTGCATTTGGTTGATGTGTTTCTTAAATCTTTTCGACCCTGTGGAGTTTCTCCCATCTTAAGCCTCCCCCATCTCCTTATAATTTACATGATAAGGGCACTGGGTCATTTGACCTGTAGAACTTCCGTCCCTCTGTGCACTTCAATTTCGCCATAAAAGTAGCTTGAACCGACAAAACTATGCTATGGACAACTATTTTAAAGCCTGATGACTAATAAGGGTCTGAAAACCCACCTTCAGAGCTTCGTGAAGAAAGGAGGGGTCCTGAATGCCTGTGATTTCTTTCAGTTGATTTAACAGCATTTGGCAGCTCTATATTTGCAAAACAAAAAAAGCCAGGGACAAGTCAGTCAGACAGTAAACCTGGATGCATTTAAAGAAGAAATAAAGGCATCTGAGGTAAACCAGGCTCAGACTTGCATTTTTCACTGTCAAGAACAAGCAAACCTTCTTTGAGGACTTTTATTGTATCATGCCTCAGATTTAGGGCTTTTATCCATCTTGAATCAATTTTTGTGAGTGGAGAAATGTGCAGGTCTAGTTTCAGTCTTTTACAGGTGGATATCCAGTTCTCCCAGCACCATTTATTGGAATTCTCCCCCCCACCCCCGTCTATGTCCTTGATTGGTTTATCAAAGATTAGGTGGCTGTAAGATGTTAGCTTCATCTCCCTGTTTTCTATTTGGTTCCAGATGTCTATGTCTCTATTTTTGTGCCAATATCACGCTGTTTTAATCACTATGGCCTTGTAGTACAGCCTAAAGTCTGGTAGGCCGATGCCCCCTTCATTTTTATTACTTTATTTTTTTTATAGCTTCATTTTCATTACTAAGAATTGCCTTGGCTATATGGGTTTTTTTCTGATTCCATACAAAACGAAGAATTGTTTTTTCCAAGTCTTGAAAGTATGATGTTGGTATTTTAATAGGGATGGCACTGAATTTGTAGATTGCTTTGGGAAGTATAGACATTTTAACAATGTTGATTCTTCCCAGCCATGAGCATGGTATGTTCTTCCATTTGTTAATATCCTCTGCTATTTCCTTTCTTTTTTTTTTTTTTTTTTTTTGAGACAGAGCCTCAAGCTGTCCCCCTGGGTAGAGGGCCGTGGCATTACAGCTCACAGCAACCTCCAACTCCTGGGCTCAAGCAAGTCTCCCGCCTCCACTTCCCAAGTAGCTGGGACCACAGGCGCCCACCACAATGCCCGCCTATTTTTTGGTTGCAGCCATCATTGTTGTTTGGCGGGTCCGGGCTGGGGATTCGAACCTGCCACCTTAGGTGTACGTGGCTGGCGCCTTAGCCGGTTGAGCTATAGGCGCCAAGCCATTATTTCCTTTCTTAAGGGATCCTAGTTTTCTTTATAGAGGTCCTTCACCTCTTTTGTGAGGTATATTCCTAGGTATTTCATTTCTTTGAAGCTTCTGAGAAGGGAATTGTGCCCTTGATTTCCTTCTCATCTTGGCTGTTATTGGCATATACAAAGGCTACCGATTTGTGGACATTGACTTTATATCCTAAAATATTACTGTATTTTTTGATCACTTCCAGGAGTCTGGTGGTTGAGTCTTTGGGGTTCTCTGAGTATAAGCTCATATCATCAACAAAGAGGGAAAGTTTCACTTCCTCTGCCCCCATTTGGATGCCCTTTATTTCCTTCTCTTGCCTGATTGTATTGGCTAGAACTTCTTTATACCACTGGGCAAGAGAGATGAATAGAACCTTCTCTGAAGAAGACAGACAAATGGCTAACAAACATAATGAAAAAATGCTCATCATCCCTAATTATTAAAGAAATGCAAATCAAAACCACCCTGAGATATCATCTAACCCCAGCGAGAATGGCCCACATCACAAAGTCTCAAAACCACAGATACTGGCATGGATGTGGAGAGAAGGGAACACTTTTACATTACTGGTGGGACTGCAAAGTAGTACAACCTTTTTGGAAGGAAGTATGGAGAACCCTCAAAGAACTCAAACTAGACCTCCCATTGGGTCCTGCAATCCCATTACTGGGCATCTACCCAGAAGGAAAAAAATCCTTTTACCATAAGGACACTTGCACAGACTGTTTCGCAGCTCAATTTACAATTGCCAAAACGTGGAAACAACCTAAATGCCCACCAACCCAGGAATGGATTAACAAGCTGTGGTATATGTATACCATGGAATACTATTTAGCCATTAAAAAAGATGAAGACTTTACATCTTTTGTATTAACCTGGATGGAAGTGGAATACTTTATTCTTAGCAAAGCATCACAAGCATGGAGGAGCAAGAATCCTATGTACTCAATTCTGATATGAGGACAACTGATGACCTAGCCCACCCTGGGGGTTGGAGGATGGGGAGAGGAGAGAGAGGGAAGAAGGGGGGGTATACCTTTTAAGGGCGGAACACTATTATGGAAGGGTCTTTATCTGACACAAACTACCCATGTAACCTGGTTCTTTGTACCCTCAATGAATCCTCAACAATTTAAAAAAAAAAAAAAAAGGCAGGAAGAAAAAGGAAAAAAAAAAGAACCAGCAAACCCCAAGTAATAAGGTACTACCTGTCAGGCACATTCTGAAGCACCAAATCTATTACTCTTTTAAAAGTTTAATCATGAAAAATACTTATTGCACTTATGAAAGATATCTGAGTAGACAGAAAAACTACAAATATCTAAAACATTTGCATGTAATAGTGCAGCCTTAATGGATGCTTCCAGTGCCTCAGGTCTTCCTTCGGTGAGCAGCCCGTAAGTAGGTCAGAGAAGGAGCCCAGGAATTTGCATGAATGTGAAGATGTGCTATTTTAAGCTTACTGCACATGCCATTTGTGTGTGTCATTTTTTCACTGACAATAAGTTTCCAATCGTGTAATTAACCGATGATACTACCACCGTCATATTTTAAAGTTCTGAGTTAGATTACTTAAGAAGTATAGCTAAAGCTAGAATTTTCTGGTTACTAAGTAAAATATATAATTCCAGAGGGAATAAACTATGGAATGTCTTCTCTTCATTAATCTGAATCATGGGAAAACCTAAGTTGTTAATTTCCAGCTACCACAAGATCAGTTTATAACCCCTTTTCAGGCTTAATGCCTTCACCCTATCATTTTATCTTGTTTTGCACGAAAAACACCAATTTACAAGTAAAGCACAATTGAAACAACTGGCTGCTCCAACTTGAGACACAACGATCTTTTTGGATAAATACTGAAAACAAAATAGTTCAAAATTAATTCAGTGAGAAGAAATCGAATTTATATCATTCCTCAGGTCATGTTAGAATTAAGTCCCAATTCAGGACTTGTTATTTCACCATCAACTATCCTCCAGTTCCTCATGGGTCTCAAAGAAAGACTGCCTACCCTTACTGCCAGCTGTAAACAGAAACAGTATCCTATGTAATGTAATTCAACAGCTGAGGCCTCCATGCTACACTAAAGAGCATCACACAAATAGAAATAACTAACATCCCTCTAAAGTCCTCCAAAAAGCATCGGGAGTCTTTTCTGTTGTAGTCACAGGCTACTGTCATAGGCTAGAAATGGAACCCAACCTTGCTGAAACCAGCAGTCTTTGAGGCTACAAGTCTTGTCAAAGTAAGGGCCGGTCCTCTGGGAGAGTGATCATTAGACTAAAAAGGATCCAGATTTAGCCACGGCAAAACTGAAAACACAAATGTCATTTTTATTTTTATTTTTTTCTGATTAATACAAGCTACACATGATTAGGTTATGAGTTTGCGTTTGTTAGGTAAGGTCCCTGGTGTAGCTGTGCCCCCCACCCAGGAGGTGTGCCATATGCCCATACATGGTGCCCGCTGGGTGAGAGCACCCCAACCCTCCGTCTTTCCCCCTCTCCCCCTCCCCTCAACTTGAATTAAATTGAGTTTTGCTCTTGTGTGGGCACGTATTACTTCATCTACTGGCTTCATCTTAGTATTGAGTACATTGGATACCTGCTTTTCCATTCTTATGATACTTTACTAAGAAGAATGTGTTTTTCAGTGCCATCCAGGTTAATACAAAAGATGTAAGGTCTCCATCTCTTTATGGCTGAATCACATCTACCACAGTTTATTAATCCATTCATGGTTAGTTCATGGGTACTTAGGTCAAACAATCCCATCTATTACTGGGCAAGAGACATGAATAGAACCTTTTCTGAAGAAGACAGATGAATGGGCAAACACATGAAAACATGCTTATTGTCAGGCGCCACCTGTGGCTCAAAGGAGTAAGGTGCCGGCCCCATATACCGGAGATGGCGGGTTCAAACCCAGCCCTGGTCAAAAAAAAAACTGCAAAAAAAAAAAAAAATGCTCATTGTCCCTAATCATCAGAGAAATACAAATCGAAACCACCCTGAGATATTACCTGACCACAGTGAGAACAGCCCACACCGCCAAGTCCCAAAGCTACAGATACTGGCATGGATATGGAGAGAAGGGAACACTTTTATACTGTTGGAGGATTGCAAACCAATGCAGCCTCCTTCAAAAGAACAGAGACGCCTCAAAGAGAAAACAGACCTTCCATTTGATCCTGCAATCACATTACCAGGTATCTACCCAGAAGAAAAAAACATCATTTTATCGTAATACAATAGATTCCTTATTGCAGCTCCATTTACAATCACCGAGATCTGGAAACCATGTAATTTTTATAGAAAAATATAATCCTGGCTCGGCGCCTGTGGCTCAAGCGGCTAAGGCGCCAGCCACATACACCTAAGGTGGCGGGTTCGAATCCCC